GAATCAAGGAGGACTCATATTAATCCCAGATCTATTACTTGGTAAATATGTGAACCCATAAAATACGTTACCTCTCAAAGCTTGCTTCTTCACTTGTAATATCTGGAAAAATACTGGTATCTACTTCAAAGCAATTTTGTAAGAGTGAGGTATGAAGTGTCTGATGTACAGAAAGCTGCTGATTGATATGACTTTCAACTTCTCTCATCCTTCCCTACTTTATCCTCTTTCCGTGGCCCTTCTCACCTTCTAACCAACTGTGTATCTATTTACTTGTTGTCTTGTCTGCCTCTTCCCACCAGAATGTAGCTCCACAGGACAATTATTAATGTTTATTTTTACTCAAGGATGTATCCTGAACAGTGTGTGGCACTGGAGGGCTCCAAAAATATTTATTGAATGAATGATTGGATGACTGCCAAGAGTACTTCAATACATTATTAATATTATTAATGATACACGTATTACTACTTCCAATTACTATGCAGTCTTTCCATGTTAAATCGTGCTATGGACTCTTCCACCTGAGAAGTCAAATAGATGTCGTATGACACCGGCCATCAGTCATATAAGTTCCTCAGGAAAGAATGACATTAATTTATTCATTTGTAAAATGAGAAAGTAAGATAAATTAGCCTCTAAGTTCCCACCTACAGAAAAACTTAGATTCTATAATTCCAAGAAAACAGTGGCTCAGCACCCGTAGCTCAGTGGTTAGGGCACTGGCCACAAATACCAGGGCTGGTGGGTTCGAACCCGACCTGAGCCTGCTAAACAACAATGATAACTATAACAACAACAACAACAACAACAAAAAATAGCCAGGCATTGTGGCGGGCACCTGTAGTCCCAGCTACTGGGGAGGCTGAGACAAGAGAATCATGTAAACCCAAGAGTTTGAAGTTGCTGTGAGCTGTGACACCACCAGACTCTACCAAGGGTGACATAGTGAGACTCTGTCTCAAAAAAAAAAAAAAAAAAAAGAGAAAACACAGAGGCACATCTACAGAAAATCACACATCAATTGATCATAAAATAAAATGTCCTCAGAGAAGTTTAAAACTTTAAATTACTAAAATGCAAAACTGCAAGAAATTGAACTTAAAATATATGTGCGTAGAAAGCAACTGGGGGAGGGTTGAGGAGGGAACCCGGCACACACAGCTTCCATCAGCACTAAATAAACAACAGCAAAATGCATTTATTCTGAGCACCTACTTATCAGTCATAGGAAGAGATGTATTTGCCCCTGAATTGGTAATTAAAACATTAGCAATTACAATTTTATTAAAAAACACACCAAAAAATACACTAAATATAGTCAATGTATCCACTTCGATCTACAGATCATGGTTGCTTTTGTTCCAAACAGTTGAATCTGTCGGCAGTGCTGCCGACCTTGGCTCAGGCTGTCCTTTTTGACAGTGTCAGTGACTCTTGACCGTTTATTCCTGTTATATGGTCAGTTTGTGTCCTTGCTATCTCGAACAAGAGGTAAGACACCAAAGTACCACCCTTCAAATAATAGAGGGACTTTCGTAAAGGCATACATGCAGGTTTGTGAGTGAAATCCTTTCAAAATTTGTTTCGGCCTGGAATTAGGGGTAGGTTGTTTTAAAATGTAACACACAGAGTGAGAACGCATCCCTTCAGCCTCAATCAGAATTCTATCCTTCACCATGATGAAAGATACAGAAAGGAAAATTAAGTCACATAAAAGGTCTATCTTTAAAAAAGTAGATTATGATTCATCAAAATGTTTTCTATCTATGTCGGGTTTTTTGAAATTTACTCCATTAATATTAAGACCCATTAATGTCCTAAGGAAAATAAAAATACACTACTTATAAATATTGGTTCTATATTTATATATCTTTTAAGTTAATAATGCTAAAGAATACATACAAAAGCAAAAACACATACACAGAGCAATATTCTTGTGACTATGAAATTGTAATCTAGAAATAATCTTAATACTATTTTTACCAGAAAATAATATTATTGCTATTGAAATAGATGTACAGAGTATTATAAAATACATAGCATTTAAATAACCAGTCTTATAAAACCTGAAATAATTCCATTAAACAATAAAATACATTGCTAAGCATACACTGTGCAACATAAAAAATGTGGGCTAGGTTTTAATATTTTCCTACATTAAAAAGAGTATTAACCCATCAAAATGGCTAATATAGCTATGATATGAATTTAAAACGTGGTTAAAAGAAAAAATTTGATGAACATTAAGACAGAATGCTAACTAAAACTGAGTATGTGTGTTGACCAAGCCGTGTTGGCATTACTTGGTGAAGCCGATCAATAGATATTAGCTTTAAAAAGAGAGATATAGAAAGAAGCTGTAGCCTACTTTTTAAATGACAGGGTGAAGGTTTAAATTGTCTCAATCAAGGCCCAATTTTTTTCCTCCTAGTTTTTCCAGCTGTTCTCTTCCTGTTAGGACTCTTCATTTCAAACAAATTTAATTAGTTCCAATTGATCATCGCCAACACTTACACAGCTTCATCCACGCTTCTTTACTTTTATAAGGCAAACACTAACAAAGGCTGCTAGATTCACATGCAAGGGTCACAAGACAGCATTCAGACCTGGCTCACTTGCACCCCAAACAACAATTTTGAAAATGTTTATTCTGTCTCAGTGAAAGCACTAAATCATACCTCACATTTGAACTGCTAGCTTGCTCAGATTGTTTGTAAGAATCAAGTGTCAGATTACTACGATAATAAAATTAATACAACTATACACAGTAGCCTAACTAGAGCTTCTAAATAAGAATTCACTCAAAATATCAAAATAGAATTTGTATTTATTGTACAAAGAGATATAAGAATAATACCTTTAAAGTAACTGAGAAAATTATCTGAACGGCTAACCTGGCCAGATTTGCTTTTTGTAGTACTGGTACTCAACAATGCTGGTTACCCTGGAATAAGATTACTATGCTTTAAACAGGTTTCTTTCAATGCACCTACCATATTTTTCATAATGCTATTTATACAGGATTCTAGTCAATAAAAAGAAATGCGGTTTTCTTCTAAACCCTCACAAAAATCTATAACACAGCTTAATCAAGTCACCCCATCTAAAGGTGCCTTGAACGATCCACAGACTCCAGCATGCTAGTTGCTTTGACAACATGTTAAGGAAGCCTTTTTTAGTTATTTAAATCCTGTGGATATTGAACATGCTCACCTCTAGTACCCACGGCATAAAATAAATAAATAAATCAACTATTAAATGCCATTTATCACATGTTTAACCAAACTTTTTACAGATTAAAATGTAATATATGTAACATTAATTGAGTCTCCCAATTAGGTTTGCATTTTTAAGCGTCTTGATTTTGTTAACAATAAAATAAAAACCATCACATGCTATAATGACTTTCGTAGTGAATAATTCAAAATTTCAATGTACTGATTTAATAATGCTTTCTTGTCTTCTCAAAAATTCAGCTTTTATTCCAGAATGCATATTGAGTTATTTCACTATTGCAAAGACAAATTATTTTTTCTTATGAATTAAACGACTACTTTTTATAGACTACAGCACTTTTAAAGTTTACAGGGAATTAAATAACAAGACATTCCTATAACAGTATAAAAAGCAATGAAAACTGAATAAAACAAGAATTAGCTTGAACATCTGCAAATGAAACAGACTTCCTTAAGTAGCTACTGAAACAAACTCTACTATTTATAAAGTGCCCAAGGACTTTCAGAAAAGATGGAAGTCATTGAAATTCTTTATATGTAAGTTTGATGATATTTTTCATCAATGAGCTTATACACTAAAGACGATTAAAAAGTAACAAGGAACAGCCACCACCATCACCTCACTTTTACTAAAAATCAAATGCTACCCAGCTTTGGCAATACTTAGTTAAGTATGGGGCTACAGGTTTATAAATATAGGCCATGTACATTTTCAGGAGAGTGATCATTAGGCTCTCTGAACATCTTCCCAGTGAAAACAATTCACAGACATTCAAGAGTAAAGAACCTACCACACAAAGCTTTAAAAGAAAGCAAGTAATAACAATTCCCATCTACCTTTAATGCTTCTTCCTCTGTTTAATTTTTGTTGAAAATTTTACTGATATTTTCTAGGCATGATTCTTTTTAAATTATTAATTACTATTAAGTTAATATATTTTGCTTCACAATAAATGTAGATTTTATAGTCAGATTTTCTGTTTGTTTGTTTTGCAGTTTTTGGCCAGGGCTGGGTTTGAACCCACCACCTCCAGTATATGGGGCCAGTGCCCTACTCCTTTGAGCCCCAGGTGCTGCCCTATAGTCAGATTTTAAATTGTAACAATCCATAGCAAAAACAACTCTATCAACCTTAATACCAATAATAATATTTATACCTGGTAGTTGTTATCCTCTGTGCATTAAAAGATGTTGAGCTGAATGAATTTACAGATCCAGTATTTGAAACTGGTTTGAAGATATAAAAAATTTATCACTGGTTATGTGATAAATTACAGAAATAAGAATGTTCACTATCCAAACAAGGTAATAAGCAAGTTTAAGAAGCACCATTCATGCTATGGTATAAAGAGCATCTGTAAGTTTCCTTAGGCTGCATTCTATATATTGCTATTATAACTTTAGGATTCTTAAGTTTACCTTACAATTGCAAAATCTTTCATAACCTAATGCATATTTCCTCTACATAATCCAAGGCTTTAGAAATGGTCCTCTGGATTAAAAGGTCTCCAGAAAACAAGTGCACAGCTAGCAGGTCCACTGTTGCAGCTATAATTAGCAAACCTCAACCAAATAAACAGTTCCACTTCCTTCATCTTCTCAAAGAGAACCCTAAAGAGTCTCATAATACTAAACACACTATCAGTACAAGTTTCTACCCTTCCCATCAAAATACTTAATCCTACTACAAATAACCTAGAAAACACTTTGCGATACTGAACAAAGCTCCATCCAGACGGTGTTAAAGATGCTCACACTTACCGGTGGTGATGTCGTCGTCAGCAAGGTCATGCTCTTCCTCCTGGACTTTGGCTTCAGGCCCAGAGGCCTCCGAAGTGGTGGTGATAGTCTGCATGGCTTCTGCTGTGACTCCAGCTAAAACAAAAGGGAGTCATAGATTTCATTTTTAAAAGTGAAAACTAAGGTCAACCAAAATTTCTCAAGTTTTTAATTTATTTACCAAATATAAATACTATACATTAAAAAATATATATATTCATCAAAGTTAGTAAGAGGCACAAACCACTGAATAAAACGTCCATTTTTATGTATATAAGTACATTTACATTGCTATATACTATCTCTACTTCTATCTGAGATCTGGAAAAAACAGTAACAGGAGGCCAAAGTGAATTACATTTTTACTTGATTCCTTTTCATGTTATTTTTTTTTTTGCTATAGTTACTTCAGCTGATTTAAATAATTATGCTATAAAAAGGAAAAATATCTAGAAAGTGAAAGACTATTTTAAAACTTTAATATAAGTCTATCTAGACCTTGGGGATGGGGAGGAGGATAATGACAAAAGGACTAAGTAAGAGACCTGAAATGTGCTGCCTGAAAGGGGACATCAGCCACCTCTATGAAGAAAGTCAGATGGGCGAGATAATTACCACACGCAAAGAACTTACACTGAACGGGACAGGCAAAGTAGTCTGGAGTTCAAAACTTTCTATTCTGTAAGTCATTTGAGAATTTTTCAGTTCACACATTTGTCTTTTTCTTACACACCTATCTTTCCATTTTTCAGTATATATTTTGTTATCAATTTGCATCTACCACATTATTCCTAATTTGGCAATCAATAATAGGGTAGATCAGTATTTTTATAAGGTTATCAAAAGGAATTGCTCGGGCAGCACCTGTGGCTGAGTGAGTTAGGCACTGGCCCCATATACCGAGGGTGGTGGGTTCAAACCCAGCCCCAGCCAAACTGCAACAAAAAAACAGCTGAGCAGTGTGGTGGGGCACCTGTGGTCCCAGCTACTCGGGAGGCTGAGGCAAGAGAATCGCCTAAGCTCAAGAGCTGGAGGTTGCTGTGAGCTGTGATGCCACGGCATTCTACCACGGGTGACAAAATGAGACTCCTGTCTCTAAAATA